GTCTTCTTTCGTTCGTTGTTATTATTGTTATTTTTTTCATTGCATTAGAGTTGAGTTTCCAAGTTTCGTTGCCAATTTTGTCAAATCGGGGAACTGCAGCTTCGTCCGAAAGAGCGAGGTGAGATTCTCGTAGTCTAGTGTCCTTTGTAATCTGACTCAGCGGTTCTTCAGAACCCCGCTGTATCATTGGCGGTTGCCTCTAAATGCTCGAAAACCTTCATTTGGCTGATTGCGAAATTTGGTGACAAACCGCGGTTTCATGTCGCGTTGTACCTCCTACAGGGCACGATATTGAAGCGTGTCAATAATTTTGTTTCCCTTATTTCGTTCAATAAATTTGTCTTTATTGATGGCGAACGTATAGTGATCTTTTTCCCTGCTCAACCTTTGAGTAAAGTGAGTGACGATTTTTATCTGTACTTCCAGACAATTTGTTTATTACAGTAATCAATAATTTTACAGCTTTTATTATTAATTCTTAACTTATAACTCTGTTGACATATATTAAATGTTAATTTATAAGTCTATGACACATAATTCCATTGACTAACTGGGATAGACATTCCATAGACTAGCTGGACGTCCAATGCTTTTACGTGTCCCATGTTTTAGGTTAAGTTTAGGTTAGGTGTCACTTGAATTAAAATCGAGAAATATGAATAACGTTGTTACATCTGCATCGAAAATTATTTACTGAATTGAACGTGAAAGCTTGTATTGTTCATTCTTGAGAAACTACCAACTTAATTTTTGAGTATAATATTATTTTCTATATAAATTAGCATCACATGTCCACGTAACTTTTCTTAACCGTTTCTTACAGCTTCGACGGTAAAATTTCTAGGGCGCGTAGAACAAGATCGACCTTGCCAAATGTAGCATTAGTCCCCAACAATCCAACTCGCAAAATTTTCCCCACAGTTGGTCCCAAGCCTCTGCTGATCTCCACGTTGTAACTGAAGTAACCACGAATGGTTTGAAAAAAAGATTCAGAAATTTTTCTTCACTTCGTGCACAATAGATTCACTCAACAATTTGATTCGAATTTACGAAGAGGAGACTTACTTTTGCATGGCACGTTGTACGATGATCGTATCATCAACACCAGGTGGTAGCTCTATTGAGATAACCGTGGATAATTGATACTGTGGAATTTTTACATAAGATCGAAGACCCCGTAATTCAAGACCTCTTCTTAATCTGGCAGCTGCGTTAGCGTGTCTGATCCACGATGCTTGGAGACCCTCTTCAGCGATTTCCGCCAACGCCTCGCGAAGGCCGTAAAGAAGCGTGGCGCTTATAGTGTGATGGTACACGCGGCTCTCGTTCCCAAAGCACTTCCAATAATTTCCAAGCAGGGTCATGTCCAAGTAATACGAACTAGGCTTGGTCTTCCTTTGGAACAATTTCTTCCTAACGCAACAGAGAAAGCGCGTGTAAATCGTGATGAAATTGCCGTTTCGTAATGGTTTGCGAAGAATGAATGGCGGAGTAATTAAGAATAATGACTGGAAATTAGTAATAACAATAGAAAATTGATACCGAGACGAGGGCGATTGCGTGTATAACGAGATTGTGCGTTAATAATCGAATATAACCTCGTTGACACCGTTGAAAAAAATATTTAAGGAGATTAGTAAATTGACAGAGGTAAATTTTTACTACAGAGGCACATATGTAGGTCTCTTCTTAATGGATGGTTCGTGACAGACGATACAGGCACCCTATTCCATTCAAAAGGCATCGGACCATCATCGAAGAAGAATTCACCCGTCGTCCACGGGTTGATGAATCATAGAAGAACCGAGTCACCGTGATGACCTCACGGATTGTATTGATATTCAAAGGGGATCGCTAGAAGTCTCAATTCTCAGACCATTTTCACAAGTGTTCCGTATACGAGAGATATGTTGCGGTTTACATCAGATGAAGAGAAACTGCGACGTGATTACATACTCGGCCAGTGGACTAAACGAGATAGGCGATAGTCCTGGAGGAGCACCGAGAACCTTTTGACTACCAGTATAGGTTGCATCGACGCCCCACGAGTCCATAAAGAACGGTTCACCGCACAATGATGCAACAGTATCAACGACAAAGAGAGCATTGTATCTGGAAAAATTTTTCCTTCATTTTATATGATATACCAATTTGATCGATACGTTTTTAGTTAATGATTAAGAAGAGTATTAATTGAAAGGTATTAATATTGGTAAGCTTATCATATTATATAATATTATAATATTCTTTTTTTCTTTTGTGATATTACAAATAGAATGCAATTCAAGTTAGAATTAAAAAAAAAAAATCTTTCAAGTATCGTTTAATGGTACCTGTGAATGAGATCACCGAAACCTTTTAGTGGTTGTTTCAAACCTGTAGAGGATTCAGCGTGGACCATGAAAACTGCGGTTGGATTATGCCGATGCAATGCTGTTTCCAATTGTTCCAACGTGACAGCGCTAGTATGTTCTGTTTCTATCACTCGCACCTGCTTTTCAAAATTCATGCGTTATTTGAATTCAATCTTAAAATCTTGATGGTATTCGTTCTCTCAAGACTGTACACCACTTACGTGTACACCAATTCGAGTAGCCATGTCAGCTGCTCGTTCACCCCAAATTCCATTCTTGACAACGAGTACAGTTTCACCAGGTTCGAGCAAATTTGTTAAACAAGCCTCCATACCACCATGACCCGACGCACTTAATGCCAGTGTGAGTCTATTATTGGTTTGAAACACGTACTGAAGGCCTGCCTTAATCTCATCCATTAACTAGGTAATTAATCAAGAAGAAAAATAGATTGAAATATATATATATATGTATAGTATTGTTTGATGGCAAAATATACAGCTCAACAGCAATCTCTCAAATTCTCTCAATTTCTCTAAGCGATAATTACATCTAACTTCACGCTCAATTTTATTAAAAAACTGCGTCTCAGCTACTAAGTCCTTCGATTAATTAATTTTTATTTTCGAGTTATTTGAATGCAAAAAAAGCGACCACCTGACAAACTTCCGGATGAAGATGGCCGAGAACTTGATTTTTCAGAGATTGAAGAACTCGCTCTGAACAATTAGTCGGCCCAGGGCCTGTCAGAATTTTTACAGGCAACTGCAGTTTAGTCTTAAGTATCGCTGGCGGATTCCTGTGTGTAGCAAGTTGATTCCATTCGGGATACATATCGATATTCTTTTTTGTAATATTTTTTTTCAAACAATCTGTAAATTAAAATATCTATTTATATATATATATATATATATTTTTTTTTTACTTCGTTTTTGAATGTCAAAGCGATGAAATGTTAGAAGGATCCCAATTATTCCAATTACTTTGTTCGTTCTCGCAACTAGAACACCTAATCTACATTGTTATCTTTTACAATTTCATATCGAGTAGACATTGTTTGAAAATAATTTCCGAATACAAAATACGCTAATAAATTGCATATTATCTTCTGTCTTTTTTTCGTTTATTATCGTTTATAAGAATGTAGTTCTACATTATCTGTATTATAAAATATTACGTAAATTTGTCACTTACAACTTATGGCTCTCGGAGCTCGGGACGATTTTGCGTTGATAATTAAACCAGTGTTGTTCACCCAACCAGAGTGTACAGCATACTATAGTAATCTTTTCCAGAATTTAGCAGATACCCAGACTGCTCAGATACCCGTACAGTTAGATATACTAATTTAGAATGATCGTGGTATGAAATATGCAATCAATTTCGATAAAACGCGATAATTTTGTTACGTAATAAACCGATGATAAATAATGTATTTACTAGATAAGATGTTTGGAACTATACATTTTTACACATTAATTACAGAAGGAATATTATAGGTGTAATATATGCAGACGAGAAATTATTAATTTATGAGCACTGTCGAGTAAAGTATTTCGACGTTTATCAATTTATTAAGCGGACTCGGAGCACAAAGAAATCTCTTCACTGAATGACGAAAATAGTTTGACACGCTGTTGCTGTCTGATAACCTTCTGAGCCTGGTCATAATTTACATAAATAAGCCAATCGTGAATTGTTAACCACCGATGAGAAATAATCACTTATTCGTTTTTATGAATCAAATTTTTTTTTTTTTTTGTATATCAAATAATGATTTCCATCGCTAGTAATTTGAAAAGATTAATTTGAACCCTGTGAATTTATTTATAAATTCATAATTTATTAGTGTTCCCTGCACGTATGCAAAGTATTGGTGTCCATTTGTGAAGTGATATTATTGTGACTATCCATGATGTCGATCTGTGAAGTGATGTTATTGTAACTTTCATCATCATAGGTAAGAAGCATGTGAACTTAGTAAACATTTATTCGAATATTATTTGTAAAGCACTGAACGTACTATTGTAACTACAGTTACAGAAAGCAGGATCACAGATGAGACAATTCGTTTTCAATAGACAACTAAACGAGAGAGTTTTATTCATATCCATCACCGATATTACTCCTGCTTTCAGTTCATTCGATATTCGACGTTGAAAATTATCACGCTACACTTTATTGTTAGTACATTTTACTACACTTCACAATGAGACACGTACTAATACCCGTTTCATCTATTCACAACTACAGATGCAAACGATCAGTGAAGAATGTACAATTTTATTGTTAAATATGTCTGTTCTTAATTAACAAACGGGAAAAGATAACTAGCATGTATTTTCGAAGTACACGACTGCAACACGATTGTAACAAACTGCCCAGTAAGCGTACAATTTCCATTAGACAGCAACACTAATCTTATCTAATGGCTGCGATACGGCTTTTATATAATATATTTTTGTACAAGGTTTAAGTATAAAGATAACTAAAATAAACAAAATACTCTTATACGAATGCTGTCTGCGTATTAAAAATATGCTTATAAAAATATGTTTATAAAAGAATTTCATACGATAGATAAACATAGATAGATAGACCTCTCTTCTATTTTCCTTTGTTAGCCTTTTCTTCCCCCTTTTCATTTTCCTTATCTGCGTTTCTCTTTTCTCTTCAGATCTCATTTTCATAAAGAACACAAGTGAACAGCACGCTAACGCAACACCATCGCTGTATATAAAAAGCGGGGGAAGTGCCATAAATTATGGAGCAAGTTGCAAACAAGACTGCCACGGTGAAGTGTGCTAATGGAAAAAAATGAATGCGTGTTTAAATGCTTTTTGTTCCCGCGGTAGGTCCGCTATTAGCTTTCTAGATGCGATGAGTCGTTATCAGATCCGCTTCAGGTTACGTTTATCAAAGCTGCTCATTTGTCGGGCACGTATATATCATGGTCTCTTCCTCGCACGTGGTCCAAGATCTATCCAATAATAAAGTCGATTAATTTATGCAGTTGTATTAATTTATACGGAAGCATATGCTCGAAACGCGTGTTTGATATAATTAGATCTGATTAATATAATAATGATTGGATTCTTAAACTTATTCTTTTGAAGAAGACTATATTTAATTCGTAATTCGTAGTAGTATACGAGTGTAATATTTCAGTGAATCAAAAGTAAACGACTCTGTATAATCAATCCCTCTTTCTCTAGCGGTTGTACTGTTAACATTTTGTAGAAGGTTGCATAGCTGACAGATAGCAATAAATCATTTAATGTATGCTTGTAGGTAAAAAGCATTATATAGTTCATGGTTCTAGCAAGAATAAATTCCTTAATGCGTATTCAAGATCATAACGGAGCGCTGGCGCGACATTCCTTTCGCTAGAACACAAAGCGCAGATAAACGTTGCATTAATACATCAGAGAAGGAATTTCAAGTACGTATCTATCACAATTTGCACGACTATTCCAAATACGTCGTACCTGTTATTATTATTTTTATATTCTTACTTTCAATTACACTCTGTTGTACAGTTTTGTAAATAAAGCATCGAGAAATTCAAATTAACACACGTGTGTTTCAAGTTGGTGAAACTTGAAAATTGTCAAAATTCTGACAAAAGTTGATTCGTCATTAAGTACAGTCTTGTCGTGGACGTAACGTAGCGGTTCCAACGAGTTTTAATTATCGAAATTACGAAATGATGAATCTAATGTTTATACGTGTCCATTTATGATGAAGCGAACGATAACTCTCCCAAGCGATTAAAAATTCCCCTGTCAGCTAAGCAAACCTACGAAAATGCAAATCCACCGGAGGGTCAAGTTCGGTTGCTCGACATCTTCCCCTTCCATCGTGTTCCATCTAGCTCTTAGCTCCCACCCACTTGAAGTTCCCTTTATACACTCGTTTCTCTCTCTCTCTCTCTCTCTCTCTCTCTCTCACGCCCGTTCAATTGCTACTTTTCCCTCTCTTCGTTTTCTCCCTCTTTCTGTCCTCCCCTCGTTGGGAGATCCGAATGTCAAGCTGCTAGCAGTAAATACCGTTCCATGGAACGTGAAATTGGCCGAAATGACTGCAAAATCGAGGAGAAAGGGCCAAGTGGCAAGAAGGGCGTACAATAAATTTCCATCGGTACTTCAAAGCCGGCGTCTGACGGGCTTTTCGTTCGCTCGCGAGGGAACAAACGTGAAGCGTGTGCGAGCATGTACGTGAAGGCTGTAGGTAAACGATGTGTTCGTGATGGGTTCGGGTCCGGTGGTAACCGGACTACACATTCATACACGAACGAGAGATCGTGCGTGACTGGCCGACCGGTGTACAGTCGGTTCATAGTTACGAGTGTGCGCCCGTGTGTGTATGTGTATGCCCCCTAACCTGCTCGTACATGCACGAGGGATTAGTGTGTATTGAACGGGCGTGCACGTGCGCTACCGCAGTTGCCTGTCTCTGTGTGTGTGTGCCACGCTCCTGAGCCAACGAAGGAGGCAACGAAACAATGGAACGACGACGTCGTCGTCGTCGTCGTCGTCGCTGCCGTCGTCTTATCCGGGCTGGCGAGTAAGCGGGTGGATCGTACTTGGTCCGGTTGCCCGTGCATCTACAAAACCGCACATAAACGGACACGAGGAATTTCCGAAGACGGTTTTCAGGCTCGCAGCGGTTCTCGAACCGCTTGCTCGTGACTGCCCCCTGGCGTACTTATTTCTCAGTAGAGGCCGGGCCGCGAAGAAGGAGGAACGTTCTGCGTGCTGGCCTCGAGTGTCTCGTGAAATCGACAACCAGTACGTTCGTTTTAACGCGAGTGTTTATCACTGTATTTCTCACTATACGTCTGTAAAAATCACGCAGAATATTCGTTTAGATTGATCGACCGTCACCGTGAGCAGCGTGATCGCGAAGAGAGTATGTTTTTAAAGCGTGCGTGAGATCGATACTGGATCACAGTAGTCAAGGAAACGCAGCCGGCGAGTGGTACACCTGTATATATTTCTCTTCCACGAGCTGGTGTTTACCGACCGGGTTTACAAAGGAGGCGGATTTCGTACAAAATCGGTGTCACTCGTCGATCTCTCCGTCCTTGGAAAATGAATCGTAACACGCGCCTCGTGGGATTGTAATCGTCGTCTTTGATCGTCGGATGGTTGTCACGCCGGTGTTGGTTGGTTTCAGTGTTCTCCCTCCCCCCCCTCCGGGTGATCATCATCTGGAACTTTCAACGTTTGTATGCTCGTCGAGTGATCACCGATTCGTTCGAATAAATGAGATCGAGTGTACTTAAGTGTCCGTAACCTGAGATATCCGCGCGGCCGTCACATTTTCCACCGTCTGGAATCGTCGCCTCCGTGCTCTCTTGCTCCTTTCATCTTGCATTCTCCTCGGCCATCCTCCTTTCCCTATCTTCGCCTCGCGCTCCTCTCCTTCTGCTTTTCTCCCCATCTTCGTCCACCTCTCTCCCTCTCTGTTGCTCCTTTCTCCGCTCCATTCCTCGGTCGACCGGTCTCTGAAGGGGGCGTGCTTGGCCACATTCAACAATGAGCGAACGCAAAACTATCTAAGCACGAGGCGCGAACGAATGGTTCTCTCTCGTGTGTTTTCTGACTGTGTGTGGCCCGCCCGATCTTCGCCCCGCGAGTGTGTTTACCCTTGTGAAACGGTCGCTCGATCCTTTTTCCCGGATTTCAAATGGATTCACAACGGCTGATAACTTAACCGGAGGATCGTCTCTTTGGCGTGTAGCTGCTTTTCCGTGAGGTGAGTGTGCCAGTGTTGTTAGCCTGTATCTCGAGTGGCAGTAGAGCTTCGATAGGTTAACGTTCGATTATTAACGCTCTCTGAAACTTGCTTCAGTTCGCTTTGAAACTTTTTGCGGATATGTTGGCTGAAATTTCGTAAGCAGTGTAACGATCACATTTGTAAAGTTTGGAAGAAAAAAAAAAAATCTGAAAATGTACGTAGAACTTGCATGTTATTTGGTACGAGTATATTACTCGAGTCTTCATCAGCACTTAAAATACGTGTTTAATATTACTGTTCATTTCGTACGTT